AAGGCAGTAAAACAGTAAATTTTATTTACACTCAATGAGTAAAGGAATTTTATCTTCACCCTTTCCAGCTCCTGTCATAATCACTATCCCCATGAGCTTACTATCACAATCAGTGTAATATATGGCTTACAATAATTAGCAAGAGATGAGAATGATTGGGTAGAAAAGCCTCAAAATACACAAACAAGATCCTCTAAATCAGGGGTTCTCAAACTACAGCCCGCCGAAAACATTTATCCGGCCCGCCGACTCATCCCGGGCCCACAGTGCGCATGTGTGGAATGTCTGAGGGACAGTGAACTGGCCCCCTGTTTAAAAAGTTTGAGGACCTCTGCTCTAAATGATTGGGGACCAGAGTGATATGTGTTGAAACATTCACTTATTTATGTGGATATATAAACACCCACATATATACAAATATATGTGTATCACAATCCCACATATATACATGGGATGTTTCATCCTACATATAAACTGCATTACTATATAGCGAAATTTTAATGGAAATATTTCCTGTTGTTGTTTATTTCATATACCACTATTTAATTTACCAGATATGCAGCCTTTCTCTTCCCAATTAAATGTCTAAGCTTCTTGAGAGACAGGCCTCATTTCATATTTTTTATATTCTTTGAAAAATCTAAATTCAATAGGAAATCAGTAAATTAATTGATTTTCCAATTTAATAAGAGCTAATAGGAAATCTATTTTGTGTATAGTATTTCTGTTAAAAAAGAAAATCAGGGTAAAACTGCTGAAAGAATTTTTTAATAATTAGAATCTCACAGCTGTTTAGAGGAATAATGTTCAACATTTGGTAAGAATCTTCACTGCACTTGACCCTAAATACATGGATGGATGGATGGATGGATGGATGGATGGATGGATGGATGGATGAAGAGATGGATGAGTGGATGGATGGAAAGAAAAATGGGTGAATAGATGGGTAGGAGGCTGGCTGATATAATTCATGGTCATATATGTGGCTGGTTTTATTCAGTGGTTAGAGCATTGGTCTGTGCACGGAAGGTTTTCGGGTACTATTCCAGTCAAGGGCTGCAGATTCGATCCCTAGCATGTGGGAGGCAACCAATCAATTTGACTCCCTCACACTGATGTTCCTCTCTCTCTCTCTCTCTCTCTCTCTCTCTCTCTCTCTCTCTCTCTCTCTCTCTCCCTCTCTCTCTCTCTCCCAGGAAGCACCCATTCAATGTGTCTTTCTTCCCTTTCCCCTCCTTCTCTTCCTCCTTCCCTCTCTCCCACTCTCTCTAGAAAATATATGGAAAAAATATCCTCGGGGGAAGATTAACAAATATAAAATAAAAAGTTAAGCATTGCTTCTTCCTCTCTATATTCACATTTTAGAATTCTTAATTAAGGGATTTGATCACTTAGGTCTATTTAACTGAGATTTTACTGTATAGTAGTTCATGGACTATCTGACTCTTACAAAATCTCAAGGATATCAGGGTTAACTTTAAACAATATTCTAAAAAAGCCTAAAAGAAATCACATACCAAGTTTTAGACTAACTAGTCTAACTAAAACATATAGTTTCATTGCTTAGGACTGAGAGTACAATTAGTTAATTTACCAGTATGCTGAGCAATGTGAGGGTAATGGGCACTGACCCCCATGCTGTAAAAAATTTGACTATAATTTTTGACTCTTCAAAATCTTTAATCATCCCTTGGTGTTTGTGGGGGATTGGTTCCAGGGCCCCAAGCCTGCAGATAGCAAAATCCAAGGATGTTCAAGTCCCTTATATAAAACTAGAGGTCTGGTTCACGACATTCATGCACTGTAGTGGGGGGGTCCCTCAGCCCAGCCTGTGCCCTCCAGGACCCACAGGGGATGTCCACCTGCTGGCTTAGGCAGGGTCCAAAAGGCAGATATTCCCCCAGGGGTCCTTAGCACTGCTATGGAGGGAGGAGAGTCTCCCGCCACCACCACTGAGCTCACCAGCCATGAGCCTTGTTTCTGGCTGAGCAGCGCTCCCCCTGTGGGAGTACACTGACCACCAGGGGGGAGCCCCTACGTTGAGTGTCTGTCCCCTGGTGGTCAGTGCATGTCATAGCGACCAGTCATTCCACCATTTGGTCGATTTGCATATTAGCCTTTTATTAGATAGGATGGCACAGAATAATGCATACAGTTGACCCACAGTATAGGCGGATTCCTAACCACGGGTGGAAATACTCTTCCATCCATGGTTGGTTGAATCTGCATTTCCAACCCAGAAATACAATGTGCCAACTGCATATTTTAGTGAAAAAAATCCATGCATAAGTGGACCACACAGTTTCAAGTAGTGTTTTTCAAGGGTCAACTATATATAGATAAGTTCAATTAATTTTGAAAAATGAAAAATGGGGTAAACCAATTATAATGATTAGATATCAGGATGCAGTTTATTAAACAGACACCCCCAAACATTTTCTGATGAATTGCTAATTATAATTTTTCCAAAGTTTTATGCCTTTGAAGGTAGACTTGTGAGCAAAAGTCAAGAAGACAGCTATATACTATGTGGACTTTTTTACATGAAACTGCCTGAAGCTATGGAGGGGGCAAATTTAGAAACAACTAGGTACAAATGAGTAGCCGGTCACAGAGAATGATTTTGAATAAAATCTTTTAATAAAAAACAAATAGGTTTATTTTTCCCTAAATAATTAATTTGAATTTACGGGTCATTATTTATATATGAGACTTTATCTCTCATGTTCACAAAATTCAGTGCCTCCATATCATTTCCTCATTAGCAAGCACCTAATAATACTTTATAACTTCAATAAATTTACGTGGCCAGCCATTCACAAATCTGTATACCAACTTCCCCCTCTAACTTGAGAATAGCTTGGAAAAGTATTTTTGACTCATAATTTGTAAAAAAATAAAAAGAGTAAGATATTGTTATAAAAAATGTGAAGGAAGTTCACAATGCAAACATCAAAAATCTTAGTTGATGGCCTGGCCAGTCTGGCTCAGTGTTTGAGCATCGACCTCTGAATCAGGAGGTTCCAACTTGATTCCCAGTCAGGGCACATGCCCAGGTTGCAGGCT